TTCTTGACCTTCAGGACCACATATAATAGAAAACTACCACGTGGAGAAGAAAAAAAAACAGGTTTCTGAGCCTCACACAAATGTTAACTACTATTTTAAAGTCCGAGAGGGGTGGATATCCACATAAACTATATATTATGTAGCTACACAAACTAAATTAACTTCCTAACTTGGCACAATGACAGGGTAGTTGGGAGGGACTGTAAAAGAAAATACTCAACAGCTTAAAAGTAACAATGGGTTCATTTATTCAAAGTAGGATGGCTCTCCCATTTTAGCGTGAGGGACTGAAGTCTCTTTCTATCCTCCTCTAGGAGGAAAACTCTGCAGCTGGTCTGTCTGGCGAATCACTCAACTACACTCACAATTCCACCCCGAATTGTCAAGCACTGGCAAGAACAGTCTCTTCTTCCCTTGGCACTCAAAACCAACAGAAAGAATTGTTCAAATTCTATCCTTCAAGGACCAGTTCAGGTCATTTCTTCTGTAGGAATCCAACCCCACATAAATAATCAATACCCAGTGAAACTGAGAACACCTTTAGTTTTCTTTTCACTGACCACACAACACCTTTAAGTTATGGTGCTTATTTTTTCTACCAATCGTGACATGGCCCAATACTCTCTGCCAGGTTTAATGCTCCCAGAAAGGACCCCTTTTTTTCCTGGATTTCACAGCAAACTGTTGCCATGATTCTTACTTCTCTGTTTCATATCATACATACACCCACACAGGATTCCATATTCCAATGGTACGTTTCTTCTGCCTCTCAAATCCCACCAAAATCCTTTCTAATTTGATCCTCCCCTAACTCTTGAGAATCAAAGTCATTATTATTCTGTTATTAGAAAGATGGACATCATTCTTATCTGTGAAAGAAATGTTATATACGTGTGTATGAAAAATTGAGAGAACAACTTCAGGAAATCCAACTACTAACAGTTAATATCGCACATGGGAAAACAACATACAATAGTGCTTCAACTTTAGAATACTGTATTTTAAGGATATTATTCACAAATAATATCATCCTTTTCATTCCATCATGAGGAACACTCACTTGCCAAAATTTGGCCTAGAATTATGCAACAAGTCTCCTATTTCTGCTTATAAAACACACTGGCAAAGAACAACAAACCCACAATGCTCCAATGAAACCCATCCTCAAATTCCAAGGCTTCCAGGCAATTCCACAAACACAGTGTCATAAAAAGAGTTTGTAAACTCCTGTAATCCGCACTCCACTTTAAAGACAGAAAGCTGAAGTCAGTGACAGGTCATCGTGAACATTTACAGAGAACTGAAGACCCTTTTAAACTCTGCAGGACTGCAGGAATTAGAGGCAGAGGGATAGCTTAGTGGCACCCGCCTTTCAGAATGAAGACTCTGTGTTTGATCCCTGACCACATAAATACACACACACACATGCACACACACAAAATAAAAGTTTATAGAAATGAGCAATCTTACCTTAGAAAGTCAGTTAAGTATACAAAATTCACACTCTATGGAATAACTAAATAGAAGTGAAATGTTAAAATTGTATAGTTTGTATACTTTAACATATAAGTGATATTCATCATAATTATGTGCTGGTAAAAACAAAGACTCAAGGAATAAATGTTCAAGTCCCATCCCACTGTCATATACATTTGGTAACACAGTTTCAATGCTATAAGGAAACATAAATAGCCCTTTGGATACCTTGACCGGAGTGGGGAAGTATGTACTCTTGAACTCTAAATAAAAAGATACAGATTTCTAGCTAAGCACAATCCTGTGTTTTTACTTTAGTTTTCTTGTTGCTGCTATTGTTTTGGGCTCTTTGTTTTATTTTTATTTTTATTTTTTGGCTGGGCGCCACACCTGGTGGTCTTCAGGGGCTATTCCTGGCTCTGTGCTCAGGCAGTGATCAGAGAACCATATGCAGTGCCTGGGATCAGAACCCACATCAGCCGTGTTCCAGGTAAGCAAGCACCTTAAGATTCAAAAAATAATCCGAATTTTCACGTTTCCACTGAGTACGGGAATTTGACATTTCAAGTCTCTAGTTTTTCATTTTAATTTTATAATTGAAGAGCATGTACCAGAGCTTGCTAAGAATTTAATATGTATTACAAAATAAAGAGAATCACCAAATTACATGTTTTAAGGTATGATTTAGTTTTAATTGCTTCTTGATACCATTAATTAAATCATCTGGTGGTCAGTGAAATATATCCCAATAATCTTACATAATTAAAGCAGAGTAAGTATAATGCGAGAAGTAATTAAAAAGAGCTATGACATCAATAATCTTGCTAAAACAATATAAGTTAGTATTAGATACACATCTTTATGAGGCAACATCACCAGGCATGTTTAAACTGAACTACAGAAGGGGTTAAAAATAACGACCAAGAAAGGCTGACAGCCCAGAGCACAGATGAGCCAACATTCCCTCCCTCTCTCCCCCTCCCCTGCTCTCCAGTCCAGAATGAATGGCGTGCCCCACTGCACAAGGCAGAAAAGGTCATCGTGGATGGCTGAGACTTTTGTAAGAGAACAGAAATAACTCGGCAGCTTTGTTACCGTCTCTTTTAATCAGCGTGTTCAAAATCCTTTAATTAGCACTCTGTCTACACGAGGAAAGCATTTCTTCTGTGCCAGGGGAGGGCACATGTGTGTGTACACAGTGTTCTGTTGTATCAGCAACATAACACAGAGTTAGTGCCTCAAGTTGTTTGCCAGGGACTGAAGCACAAAAACTGGGGTTTTTACAAAGGTATGGCACCACAAAATGGACATGCGCCATTTGTATTTTTAATACCGAACAACAAATGACAACTGAGTGTGTCTTCTTAGGTACAAATTGTTTCTGGATCTTTTTTCAGCAAAGATGGAAGTATTTTAAGCTAGTGCCTTTATTCCATTATCATAGATAATTCTAACCATACAATAACAATAGGAGGAGCATAAAAAACAGGCAAATTTCAAAAACTGTTCCATTCCTCGAGTCTGGAGGGGGAGAGGGGGAAGCAGGGGAAGCAGCTGGCTCAGACTAGAATAAGTCACAGAACACACTTTCACGTGGAAGCTTTACACCGAACACTTCAGCCAACCATAAAAATCTTAAAACTTGCAGGCTGGGACATACACACACACACACACACACACACACACACACACACCCTTATAAAATCTGAAAATGGTAACCAAGATAGAAATTGGTAATGAAGATAACTTCCATGTCAAGGTCTGGGGATGTGGCCCAGTAACAGAGCACTCGGCTTGCATGTGTAAGGCTCTGAGTTCAATTCCTGACACTACAAGGGAAAAAGACACTAAAAGTCCACAATCAAAAACAAGGGGCATTTCGTTCATAAAAAGCAGATTGGCAATATTTTGATAAACTGTTACAAACGTATGTGGCCTCCCCCCAAAAAAATCAAGTTGGGGATATATACATATAAGTGTACACACACACACACACACAGACACACACACACACAATACATAATTAAAAATTTATATTTTTACATATATAAATGAAAGCAGTAACTTCGAAATGGCTGATCAGAGAAGCAATCTACTAAATTTAATATATAATGTTAGGCAGCATAGTGACATTATTCTGACCGTCAGCTCATCCATCCAAGACATGTGAATTCTCAGCACAGTTTAGTCTGAGAATTAATGAGATGATGCACCCGAAACAGCAAGTCATCTGCATGGGGCGGGGGATAAGTATTCTCATCTATTGCACAAAGTGTAAACTGGAGAAACCTACGAAAATTATAGAATATATTTATGTATATTGTGTAACCTATCGCAATAATATGAATAACAGTAACACTGGAAACCACATAAATGCCATCCAAGGGCTAGGGAGATGACTCAATAATAAGTGAGACCAGGGTTCCATCCCTGCCATCACAAAAAATAACAATTAACAACAACAACAAAAAAACAGAAAATAAGACCAAACAACAACAAATCACTATATCCTCTCAACTTCCTCCCTCCAAGCCCCTAGTAATCAAACAAACCAAAAAAAAAAAGGGAGGCAAAAGGAGGCGTGGGCACAGTTGTGCAAATAAATGCAGTTTCCCTACAGTTCAACTCTCAAAATACAAAATAACAATGAAGCCTTTTATAAAGAAAGTTATCCTCAGTACACAGTAGAGGGAAAAAGCAAACTGTGACACCATATGAGTAACACATTATCACTTGATTAAGAGGTGTTACCACTTTTACTTGAACATACAGAAAAAAAAATATCCTTTGGAAAGTTGTATAAGTAATTAACAGCAATAATTACCTCCTGGTGATGAAAGTGAAGCAGTGCCTGACAGTCAATGAACCCTGTAATCACTATCCTTATCAGTACCATCACCATGAAAGAATATCTTCAAATATACACACAGGATACACTCAAACCAAATCCAGAAAGAGGGAAACAGACAAACCCCACTTCTTCACAGGCTGACTATTCAAAGATCCAAACCCCTCCTTTCCTCTTCAAAGGAAGGAAGCTTGAAGTCATTTTGCTGTTGGCTGTCACCTCACCAGAAAGTGAACAGAGGAAATAACATCAAAAACAGTCGTTTTAGTCAATATTAATCAAAGCCTTTAATAAACAGCTTTTAGAACTGAAATGAACCATAAAAATTTCAGAGTGCAACCTTCTAAAATTACATGGAAGAAACCAGGGTTCGGAGAATTGCCCAAATTCACGCCAGATCAAAAATTTGGAGTCTAGCCCGAGTTAAGTTCTTTCCATTTCATTATTATTAGTAAGATGAAGAAAGATGAAATAAATCTAATTAAAATTAGGAATCTTGCTAACTCCCACTCATCATCCCTTATTATACATATATAACTGTTTGTTGAGATAAAATCCCATAAGCATTTGCAGTAAGTGCTGAAGTCATCCAAAACATTCAACAACACAACCCTGAGTTTTCCAAGGGCCAAGCACTGAATGAACATCTGTCATAAAATCTGTAAAGTTTGCTTACACTAGAGATTGTCAGAGGCATGTTGAAATCCTTGCCACCTTGCAGCCGGAAACCCCAGGGAGCTGGGCCAACCAAGGACACACTGTAGCTGCTCATGGTTCGGATGGTGCAACGTCCAATGTCAAAGAATGAAAGAAACTGAAAGAAAACAGATCATAAACAACAACATATATTTAAAATCTTATTACAATTATGGCATTTTAATAGAAATTCAACTAAGTCATGTTCACTGTTTGAGGAATATAGAAATATGAGGATATGTGGATATTAAATTCTTACTTCAGTTGAAGAAAAGGGATCTATGTACGTGATTTCTAACTTCACACCCATTTCCATAGTCTAAAAATTCCTTATAAGAATGTAATTCTAGACACTTGAACCATTTACAACTTGCTACAAACTACTTTGTGGATTCTTTCATATAAAAGTACTCTACACCACTTTGTTGAATTTATAAGATAAAGATTTGAGTTTAGGCTTAATTCAAAATTATTTTTCTTGGAGCTGAGAGATAGTACAGACTCAATCCCCTATAGAGCACGTGCCTTGCACAGATCCGACTGGGTTTGATTCCCAGCATCCCATAGAGTCCCCTGAGCACTGCCAGGAATAATTCCTGAGTGCAGAGCCAGGAGAAACCCAATCACCACCGGGTGCAGCTCAAAAACAAAAACTGAAAAATCAAAAACAAAATCATTTTTACTATCCCTCCACTTTGTACATTTGTTTGCCTGTGCATTTCAGCTTCACTTAAGAAATCCAAATCAGGGGCTGGAGCAATAGCACAGCAGGTAGGGCGTTTCCCTTGCACACGGCTGACCCAGGTTCAATTCCCAGCATCCCATATGGTCCCCCAAGCACCGCCAGAAGTGATTCCTGAGTGCATAAACCAGGAGTAACTCTTGTGCATCGCTGGGTATGACCCAAAAAAGCGAAAAAATAAAAATAAATCCAAATCAGAGGCCAGAGTAATAGTACAGTGGGCCGGGCACTCGCATTGCATGTAGCCGACTCAATCCCCTGCATACCACATGATCTCCTGCGCCCCACGAGGAGCGATTCCTGAATGCTGACTATGCTGACTATTCCTGAACACTGTCGGGTGTGGCCCCAAATCAAAAATAAAAATTATATTTCAGGGCTGGAGCAATAGCACAGCAGGTAGGGTGTTTGCCTTGCACGCGGCCGACCTAGGTTCGATTCCCAGCATCCCATATGGTCCCCCGAGCACTGCCAGGAGTAATTCCTGAGTGCAGAGCCAGGAGTAACCCCTGAGCACCGCTGGGTGTGGCCCAAAAAGCAAAAAAAAAAAATTATATTTCAACTTATAAGGATGAAGTATATTATTCTGCTATTAAAGCAATATCACTTTTGCTTCAGACAAGTAAGAGGCAATTCTGTAGCTCAGGGGCCAGCCTGGAGACCCAGAACAGCACCATCTAGGCCTGGAGGAAAAGTGTTCATCAGGAGCACTAGCCCCGGGGAACAGCCCAGTCACCAGGCCAGTGCTCAGGGCCTCCACTCCAAGGCTGTGACCCTTCTCTGACCTGGGTCAGCAGGTGCAGGGCACACACCTTAACCTCTACACTGCCTCCCCGGCTGGAGAGTGGAGATACTTTGTAAAGCAATACTAGGAAGAATATAGTATCTCTCTCTTTAAATATTCAAGGATGGGGAAGGGGACTGGAAAAATGGTGGTGGAAGGTGTGGTGTTGGAAAGGGGGTACCCACGAAATCCTACCAGTAACAGTGCTGCAAATAATGGTGCTAAAAATAATACAGGAGTCAAGGCCTCAACATCCCACCAACCCCAATTCAAATCTCTGGCACAATAAAAGTCAGTATTTGCAAACGTTTCCACATCTTTTTATTTTATTTTTTCAAGTTGGGGCTGGAGAGACAATGGAGGAGGTTAAGGCACTTGCCTGGCATGCAAGCGACCCTGGTGGGTCCCTGACACCAAACACAATTTCAGAGCACCAAAAGAAGTGATCCCTGAGCACGAACACGGGAATAAGCCCTGCACACCTCCAGGTGTGGCTCAGAGGCCAACAAAGTCGTTTCAGACACACGTCATTCGGAGGCTGGATCAGGCAAGCCACCCTTTATATTCCCCGCCCTAAAACAGTCTTCCAAACTCTGTCCCATCACACTAGATCGACAGTGGCAGAGAAAGACGCTTGGACCAGGAGGCCACACTAAGAGCAAGTGGATTCCCTCTTCTAGTGGACCTTAAGAGTCAATCTGGGGGCGGGAGCAATAGCACAGCGGGGAGACCCGGGTTCAATCCCCAATATCCCATAGGGTCCCCGAGCACTGCCAGGAGTGATTCCTAAGTGCAGAGCCAGGAAGAACCCCTGAGCATTGTCGGGTGTGACCCAAAAAGAAAAAAAAAAGAAAAGAAAAAGAAAAAGAAAAAAAGGGGGGAAAAAAGTCAATCTGGTTCTTTAGGGAAATTTAAGTCGGGAAACTCCCGCACCACAAATACCCAGAAACTCCTGGGCTTTCTGGCTGCAGAGCCCGGACACCCAGCCACAGCACCTGCTCCCGCGCCCATGGGTGCGCAGGAGGCACCAGGACCTGCGGGCGGGGCGCGGGCCAGCCGCTGGCTATAAATGGACGGGAGGACCCGAGAGCCTCCAACTCCCGGGAGCCGCGGAACTTAACGGCTTCCCGGGGCAGGGAAAGTCCTCAGGGAAAGGGGATGGTGGCGGCGGCACAAAGGTCAGATGGGCACGAAGAGGGAGATTTCACAGGCTGCCGGTGACCCCTACCAGCCTGTGACCCGGCCAGGAAGCGACCCTCCCTCACGCCATGACCCTCCCTCACCCCTGACCCTCCCTCACACCCTGACCCCCCTCACACCCCCTGACCCTCCCTCACACGCCTTGACCCTCCCTCACGCCCTGACTCTCCTTTACCCCACCCTCCCTCACATGCCCTGACCCTCCCTCACCCCTGACCCTCCCTCACACCTCCAGACCCTCCCGCACCCCTGACCCTCCCTCAGACCCTGACCCTCCCTCACCCCTGACCCTCCCTCACACCTCCAGACCCTCCCGCACCCCTGACCCTCCCTCAGACCCTGACCCTCCCTCACCCCTGACCCTCCCTCACATCTCCAGACCCTCCCGCACCCCTGACTCTCCCTCACACGCCCTGACCCTCCCTCACCCCTCACCCTCCCTCACTGACGCCCTGACCCTCCCACACACACCCTGACCCTCCCTCACGCCCTGACCCTCCCTCACACCCCCTGACCCTCCCTCACCCCTGACCCTGCCTCAGACCCTGACCCTCCCTCACCCCTCGCCCTCCCTCACGCCCTGACCCTCCCTCACGCCCTGACCCTCCTTCACACACCCTGACCCTCCCTCACCCCTGACCCTCCCTCACACCTCCTGACCCTCTCTCACCCCTGACCCTGCCTCAGACCCTGACCCTCCCTCACCCCTCGCCCTCCCTCACGCCCTGACCCTCCCTCACGCCCTGACCCTCCCTCCCGGCCCGTGCGGGGAGCAGCACGCGGGAGGGGCTGGGAAGTCCCGGCCGGCCGGGGAGGGGCTCGGGGATTCCCTCCGCAGTGCTCCGGGTGCGGGGGGGGGGGCGTGCGCGCCCCAGGGCGGCGCAGAGCCCGGAGGGAAACCCCCCACCCCCACCCCCCACACACACACCCGGCGCTCGGGCACCTCCGGCCACGCGCCTCCGTCCCCGCCCAGGCCCGCCCGGGACGCCCCGCACGGCCGCGGCACCTCAGGGCGGCACCTCAGGGCGGACCCGGCCCCTCAGGGCAGAGCCCGCGCCCGAGCCCCGCACCTCGGGGCGGACCCCGCGCACCTCAGGGCGGGACCGCAGCCGCCTCAGCCCCCTCCGGGCGGGACCCCCGGCACCTCGGGGCGGACCCGGGAAAGCCCCAGGCCGTTCCCGGGGGCCCCGTCAGGCCGCGGCCCCGCGCCCGCCCACGCCCGCGCGTGGGACACCTGAGGCGGCCCGCGGCGACCCCCGGGGCCCCCCGCCCCCTCGCCGGCCCCGGCGGCCCCGCGACGCCCGGCCCGAGCCCCCGCGCCGGGGCCGCCGCTCACCCGGCCGAGCTGCCGCCGCCGCCGCCGCCTCCGACGAGCGCTGACAAGTGACTCCCGGGGCGTCAGCCTGCGCGCGGCCCGCGGGAACTTCCGCCTCCCGCGCCCGCGGCCCCGCCCCGCCCGGACACGCCCACCCCGCGGCCCCGCCCCCGCCCGGACTCGCCCACCCCGCGGCCCCGCCCCCGGCCGGGCACGCCCACTCGGGCCGCGGACCGCCAGCACCCCGGCCCCGGGGAAGACACGCCCCCTGCCCCGTGGCCCCGCCCCCGGACGGGGGGACACGCCCCGTGCGCACCGCGGCCCCGCCCTCGATCCCGGAGGCGGACACGCCCCCTGCACGCCCGCGGTCTGGGTCCCGGCCCCGTCCCCCGGGCGGCGGACACGCCCCCTGCTCCCGGAGGCCCCGCCCCCTGAGCTCCGCCACGCCCCTGGACCACGCCCCGCCCCGAGCCACGCCACGCCCTGCGCCCCGCCCCTGCGCCCCGCCCGCCCCGGCGGAGCTGCGGGCGCGGCGGCCAGGCTCCCCTGGAGCCGGGGCGCTCGCGCTCCCCGGGGTGCTGTGCCCGCGTGTGTGCCCTGCCGGCGGCCTTTGCACGGGAGAAGCCCCTGCAGTGGGCTGGGCGGGGGTCCCGCCGGGTCCCGAGACGCAGTAGTTGCACTTCCCAAGCATCCTTAACACTGTGGCAACTATGTTACTACTTAAGTCAGCTTCAGCGTTAGCACTGTTGCAACCATGTTAGTCGGCATCAATGTTAACACTATTGCAACCATGTTACTACTCAAGTCAGCATCAGTGTTAACACTGTTGCAACCATGTTACTACTTAAGTGAGCATCAGTGTTAACACTCTTGCAACTATATTACTGTTTAAGTCAGCATCATTGTTAACACTGTTGCAACCATGTTACTACTCAAGTCAGCATCAGTGTTGACACTGTTGCAACCATGTTACTGTTTAAGTCAGCATCAATGTTGACACTGTTGCAACCATGTTACTGTTTAAATCAGCATCAATGTTAACACTATTGCAACCATGTTACTACTCAAGTCAGTATCAGTGTTAACACTGTTGCAACCATGTTACTACTTAAGTGAGCATCAGTGTTAACACTCTTGCAACTATATTACTGTTTAAGTCAGCATCATTGTTAACACTGTTGCAACCATGTTACTACTCAAGTCAGCATCAGTGTTGACACTGTTGCAACCATGTTACTGTTTAAGTCAGCATCAATGTTGACACTGTTGCAACCATGTTACTGTTTAAATCAGCATCAATGTTAACACTATTGCAACCATGTTACTACTCAAGTCAGTATCAGTGTTAACACTGTTGCAACCATGTTACTACTTAAGTGAGCATCAGTGTTAACACTCTTGCAACTATATTACTGTTTAAGTCAGCATCATTGTTAACACTGTTGCAACCATGTTACTACTCAAGTCAGCATCAGTGTTGACACTGTTGCAACCATGTTACTGTTTAAGTCAGCATCAGTGTTGACACTGTTGCGACCATGTTACTACTTAAGTCAGCATCAATGTTGACACTGTTGCAACCATGTTACTACTTAAGTCCCAGTAAGAATTATGCTGGAGAATTATTATTATGTCAGAAAGATTATGCTGGAGAGAAAGTTTTCCCCAGGTGAGACCTGCTTTATAGAGGGCTTAAATATATGTTCACAAATTTACATTTCACCCCAATTAAACGAGTAACAACCACAACCCTTGTGGCCGTTGACAGGTGCTGCATCAGCCCACCTGAGGCAGAAGCTGTGGACAAGGCCCGAGGGCTGAGTGCACATGGACAGCCTTGCCTGCTCACCACTCCCTGAGCAGCGCGGCCCAGCTCTGCACCAGCACTCACACTTCATGAGAAACTGGAAGCCCGCCAGGATGATTTCAAGAATACGAAGAATATGCAGGGTTTCCAATATTTCCAGATCCAGCTTCTGTGTAGAAGAGAATTGGGATGGGGAGATTTTTGGATAATTCTAGGGGGTCCTAGAACAGTCCCCTCCAGGACGCAAGGGAGGGCTCTCCCTGGAACGTGCTAGTCAGTGTGCTACTCCAACAATCCCCGGGGCGGGCAGCACCCACTGGCTGTTCAGAACAAGGAGATGTGCAGTGGGGAAACTCTGTGGGCTGAGCACAGACTATGCAGAAGGTCCCCAACTCAGTCCCCAACCATGCAGGGCCGTGAGCACCACTGGGAGCAGCAACCCACCCCGGTCCCCACCATATGTAGCACAGAGCCAGGTGTGCCCTCCATACCAAAAAAGAGAGTTTAGGTTGCAAGAGATTCCAGTTCACTGCATCATCATCATCGTCATCATCATCATCATCATCATATCCTGTGTTTTTCAATAATACAGGCATCATTTTCAAAGGGCTCAAAGAATGGTTGCACCCAGCTGTTTGACAAAAACATCAGTCGTAAAAGCTATGACCATCACGCTGCAAACTGTGGGAGCTCCACAGAGCCATGCAGCTCCACAGAACCTTATTGAAGGTTCTATCTCTGCTTCTCCCTGCCTGCTTACTGCTGATGTAGCTCAATTTCCCCTGATCCACAAAGGTTGACCGAATGTGTCAGGAACTGCAAGCAAGGTAAGGCGGTATGGAGGCATCAACCAAGGTTTGGGGAGGGAGAGGAGGTGAGAGGCAAGAGCTAAAAGCAGAGAAAATGTGGCTTTGTTTATTAATCAAATTCAGTTCTATCCTACAGCTGGTGACCTGCCTCTAAATTCTCTCCTCGTCTTTCTCCTTTGCATCTGGGGGACAGGGGAAATGAAGGATATTTAAGTACAGTCTGTACACTGGTGTTTCCCCAAGTGTCCTCCTACACAACCCAATGTACCACTAGGACAAGAATGGTCCACTCCTCAGAAACATTACCTGCTTCAACAAGTATTAAGCTGAATCATAAAAACCACTTGCCTGGGAATCTGTTCAGAACCCCAGTGGACTTATGTATGGTGACTAACTGAGAACCATGTATCCCAAATAGCACCCAGGTCTCTCAATTTCCTCATCTCAAAGGAGAGGAGCGTTGTGAAGGAGCTTTTGGAACTATGAAGAGTAGAGATAATATATATATGTATATATATAAATCACTGTGCAGCAAACTTGGCACCAAATATATGTTAAATAAATGGTAGCCCTACCCAATTTTACTAACCAATTTAGTAGATTTGTTTCATGAAAGATAAGTCTTAGTGACTTGTGTGCCATTATCTTATTTGATTCATTTACACATATAAGTAGGGGACCAGAGAGATAGCACAGTGGATAGGGCATTTGCCTTGCATGCTGCTGACCCAGGTTCTATCTCCAGCATCCCATGTGGTCCCCAGAGCATGCCAGGAATAATTCCTGAGCACAGAGCCAGGAGTCACCCCTGAGCATTGTTGCAAAAAAAGTATATGAAATTTTAGCAAAGGAAGAAATAGATATTTGGTTTGGAGATTGAGAAGTGTATCAATAAAAGTCAAGAGAGAGCTAATAGGCTGAGCAAATACTTAGCAAACAGGATGCCTGGGTTTCATATTGTCCTTGAACACAACTGGGTAGGTGGTACATGAGGCTTGAGTATATATAACCTAAGTTTGACTCTCTAGCACCCCATAAGGGGGAGGGGAGGAGGGAGGGAAAGGGAGCCGAAAGGGACAGGAGGGGACAGGAGGGGATTGGAGGAGAGGGGGGAGGAGAGGGAAGGAAGGAAAGGAGGAAGGGAGGGAGGGAGGGAGGGAGGATGGAAGGAAGGAAGGAAGGAAGGAAGGAAGGAAGGGAGGGAGGGAGGGAGGGAGGGAGGGAGGGAAGGAGGGAGGAAGGAAGGAAGGAGGGGAGGGGAGGGGAGGAAGGAAGGAAGGAAGGAAGGAAAGAAGGTAAGAAAGAAGGGAGGGGAAGGGAAGAGAAGGGAAGGGGAGTAGAAGGAAAGGGAGGGGAGGAGAAGGGAGGGGAGAGGAGGGGAGGGGAGGTCAGGAGAGGGGAGGGAAGGGAAGGGAAGAGGGAGGAAGGAAGGGCACAGAACTAATGAGTAATAGAAGTAGAAAAGAGAAGTAGAATTAAAACCAGTAAAACAAAGGATTGTTTTGTTTTGATATATTTTTTTTCAAAGGGGCCACACCTAGCAGTGCCCAGAGCCAAGGAGGCACTCCAGGGACCATTCATTGATAGAATGGAGCTCGGAGCGCCCAGTGGGTGAGACCTGTCCTCTGCCCTGAGTCATTCACCCAGTCCCAGGAAACGAGGTTACAAGGTTAAGAGCGTGTTCTTTTCACCTCAGCACGTCTCTAGTAAACACAGTAAGCCACTCAGTGTAGAGACCAGAGAGAAATGATGGAAAAACTAGAGCAACTAACACTTTTGAGGGCCCTAGAAGTTCAATTTGCAGCAAATTATAGCAATTAAGTAAATGCCGAGTTATTAGTATCGAGAAAGAATGAAACTCCTGATCCACTTCCGGGCATGCGCCTTGGCTTGCTCTAAGGTGAGTTGCCATTGAGCCATTCTGCTCCCTTGTCCGTCTCCATGGTGACTAATATTTATGAACCGGCTGTCCAGGGCACGAAGGATAATCTGTTACTCGAGGCTACCAGCAAGATAACTGATCCATTAGGATTGCAGACGAGTTCTTAGCTTGTTAACTTTATGAGCGGCCCATGCAATGAAACTCTGGCCACAAAGGAAAACAGGATCAAAGTTCCACTTTACCATATCCATTGCACAAAAAGCAAAGCAGGAAAAAAAAAATCCATCGAGAGATCAACCGGTTTTGCTTCATAGCTTTTAAGAATATTTTATCCAAACACTTGCTTACTTTAGTCTCAAACGTTTGCTCTGACATTTTGTTAATTATCCCGAGTATGACTCAGTATCCTCTTGCAGTGCTTCAAAAATAACAGAAACTTTAATTACAAGATGGCAAGGCTGTTTCGAGTTTTTATGACTGTATTCAATAAATTGTAAACTGCTGGTCTTGGAAAGTTCCTAGAGGATGGAGGTGTGAGCCTGGAGGAGGCCCTATGGCTACCACACAGCAGTGAAGAATTCCTACATCACTCTACCCTGGAAGCA